GCGTGGCAGTGGTGAGCAGTGCCAGCAGGGGGTGACAAGCGCCGACCGGTGATCAACGACCACCTGCAGATGCCGCTGGCAGTGTTGGTGGCAGCTAGCAGCGATCAGTGACTGCCTGCCGATGCCACCGTGTCAGTGGCGAGGAGGGGTGGGGGTGGAGAGCGGTGACCTCCTGCAGGCACTGCTGGCAGCATCAGCAGTGGCCAATCATAGGGGGGGCACAGCCAATTTCGGGGGTGCATGTACATCCGTATGCACCCCCTACGCATCACCAATGCTGTTAGGCAGCTTCCCCTACTTAGTCGCACATGTATACAAGATACATTACTGCACAGTAGACACTTTACTGTGCAATAAATTAGTCACCATCTACACATACATGACATTTACTGCACAGTAAATTAACTGTGCAGTAGACTAATCTAGTACCTGTATCTTTAGGTACTAGCTAACTGTGTAGTAGCTACTGCACAGTAGTACATGTATAGATGTTGACTGGGAGCATTTTTGCTCCCCATCATCCACACCAGCAAGGGACAACCTCCTTCTTGGGGCAGAGCTATGTGACTGGGAGTACCTCCATAGTTGGCCCTGGCTGGCCTCTAGACCCCTGGCCTGACTCCCTAGGGCCTGTACCTCTAGCTGCCTGGCTCCTGAGCACTGTGCCCATCTGCTGTGGGCATGTGGAAAGCCCCAACGAGACCCCCAAGGCCCCTGGCAGCACCTGGGATGGTAGCATCCCTGATGCTGGAGACATCTGCCTGGGGCCCCAGCTGGACAGAGCAAAGGGCCGGTGACCGTGACCTCATAGTGGTCTGGGGTGAGGCAGATGTGCAGTGGTATTTTGGCTTGGGCACTTGGGCAAACACCCACATCTATGAGGCCATGACGGCCTGTCTGCAGGAGTATGGCCAAGAGCAGTCTGGCAGTAGTGCTGCATCAAGATTAAGGCACTGTAGGCTTAGTGGGTCTGCATCATGGACCACAACTGGCAGTCTAGAGCTGCCTAGGGAACCATACCATGCATGCAGGATGGTGGCTCTGTGGTGACAGTATATTAGACTTTTATAATGAAGAAGCCAGTCAAAGATTGTAGGTTCAAGTCCCACCAGCGTCAAAATGCTTGCTTCCCCTTTAGCGAACGGGACAAGTTTTGCATTGACTTCTGCTGTCTGGAAAGCAGTAGCAGGGATTGTCTGCCAAACCTCTGTGACCTTGATTTGACAATGGGGATGAAGATCTCTCTCAGAACAGAGGAGCTGAACTTCTTCAGATGGTGTAGAATTATCGATGAATAGGAAAGGGGTTTCAAGGGATGCATCTACACGAGATGCTTTACTGTGCATTAGACTCATTTCACTCACAATGAAGCTTCAGCATCTACACATGTACAGGGTGCCAAAGTCTGCACTGTGGGCCAGTACTGACAAGAACTGTACTGTGCAATAGATTAGTCTAATGTGCTGTTTTCTTCAAGTGCAAAGTGCTGCACTTAGTATGGAAGAATCCCAGACACCCCTACAGGCTTGGGACCAACTGGCTAAGCAGCAGCTGTGCAGAAAAGGACTTGAGAGTTACAGTGGACAATAAGCTGGATATGAGTCAACAGTTTGCCCTTGTTGCCAGGAAGGCTAATGGTATATAGAGCTGCATTAGTAGGAGTGTTGTCAGCAGATTGAGGGAAGTAATTATTTCCCTCTATTCTGCACTGGTGAGGCCACATCTGGAGTACTATGTACTAATTTTGGGCCCCCCACTACAGAAAGGATGTAGACAAGCTGGAGAGAGTACAGCAGAGGGCAACAAAAATGGTGCGGGGGCTGGGGGACATGATTTATGAGGATAGCTGGAGGAAACTGCGCTTATTTAGTCTGCAGAAGAGAAGACTGAGTGGGGATTTGGTAGCAGTCTTTAACTACCTGAATGGGGGGTTCTAAAGAGGATGGAGCCAGACTTTTCTCAGTGGTGGCAGATGACAGAACAAGGAGCAATGATATCAAGTTGCAGCAAGAAAAGTTAGGTCGGATATTAGGAAAAACCTTCTTACTACGAGGGTGGTAAAGCACTGGAACAGGTTACCGAGAGAGTTGGTGGAATCTCCATCCTTGGAACTTTTTAGACCAGCTCTATAAAGCCTTGGCTGGAATGATTTAGTTGGGGATGGTCCTGATTTGAGCGGGGGGTGGGACTAGATGACCTCCTGAGGTCCCTTCCAACCCTAATTTTCCATGATTCTATGCGGCAGCTGCATTGGCGATACATAGGGGGTGCATGAAGGTGCATGTGCACCCCCTGAGATTGGCAATGCACCCCCTAAGAGAAGGGAGGTGCAAGCTGTGGGCAGCCACTGCTTGCCACCCGCCCTTGCTGCCGACACCGCTGGCAGTGTCTGCAGGTGGTTGCTGATTGCCGCTGGCTGCTGCTGCCACTGCTGGTAGCATCTGCAGATGGTTGCCAACCGATCAGTGCTTGCCCCCGCCTCCCCTGCCACTGACACCACTGCGGCTGCCTGTGGGAGCTCCCTGCTTGCCGCTGCCACACCCCTGCTATTGCCAGCACTGCCACTGCCTGCAGGCAGTTGCTGTGCCCCCCCAGCCTCCGGGGGCATGTGTCATTCATGGGCAGCTGGATCTCACCCAGGCCACGAGGGACCCTGGCGAGGGCCACTTTGTGTACTCCAGCACAGGCAGGCTAGCAAAGCTTGCACTGCAGGCCAGTGCTGACAAGAGCTCTCTGGGGAAGGGTCCCTTGGGGCACTAGTGGCAGGACCCCTTGCGGCACTAGTGACAGGACCTGGCATACTCCCTGTTCTTGGCTTCAGTTTGCAGCACAGGCAACCCTGGCTGATACCTGCTCTACCATCTCTGGTTGTGCACCTCAAATGGGGAGGCCAGAATGGGGATGGCCCCTGTGACAAGCAGCTCCAGCTCCTCCCTGGAGGGGGCCACTGCCCAGGTGGCCAGGCACCGTGCTGCTATGCCCTGGGACAGCCATGCCACCTCACCGCCAGCAGGGACAGAGTTGGACCGCCAGCCATGCCTATCCAGTAGGGCTGTGTGAAACAGCATCGTTCTGCTTCAACTTCCATTTTGACGTTTCAACATAACAGTGTTTTGTTTAGTTTTGAAATCACTGTTCTGTTTTGTTTTGTCAAAACTGTTTCGCTGTTTTGACGCTGTTTCGCTGTTTTGCCCATAGGGTATAATGGGGAAATATAAAATGCGGCAGGTAGGCAGGCTGAGGGCTCAGCCACACGCCCAGGAGGGCTGTGGGGGCTGTGCCACAGTCCTCCTGGGGGTGTGTGCCCTGATCTGCCTGCTGGATGAGAAGAGCTGGGTGCTGCCACCTGGGACCGGCGCCGGGAAGATCAGTGCTGCCGCTGGCCCCAGGAGGCAGCACCCGGTTCCTCTCATTTGGCAGGCAGATCACAGGTATTCCTGCACCCCCAGGAGGGCTGTGGTGGCTGTGCCGGAGTTCTTCCGGGGGTGCATGCCCCTGATCTGCCTGCCAGATGACAGACCAGTGCTGGGTGCAACCTGCACCCAGCGCCGGGAAGATCGCTGCTGCCGTTGGCCCCAGGCAGCAGCACACAGCTTCCGTCATCCTGCATGCAGATTGGGGGCATGCACTTCTGGGAGGACTCCGGAAGAGCCTCCACAGCCCTCCCGGGGGTGCCAGCAGGCCCCCAATCTGTGTGCAGGATGACAGGGGCCAGGGTCTGCTGCCTGGGACTGGTGGCAGCACCAATCTTCCCGGTGCCGGTTCCAGCCAGCAGCACCCAGCTTCTCTCATCTGGCAGGCAGATTGGGGCACCCTCGGGAGGGCTGCGGGGGCTATGCTGGAGTCCTCCCAGGGGTGCATGCCCTCGATCTGTGCGCGGGATGACATGAGCCGCATGTTGCCTCCTGGGGCCAGCGGCAGCAGTGATCTTACTGGTGCTGGGTGCGAGCTGCGCAGATCGAGGGCACGTCCCCTGGGAAGATGCCAGCACAGCCCCCGCAGCCTTCTTAGGGGTGCGGACGAGCCCCCGATCTGTCTGGCAGATGAGAGGAGTCAGGTGCTGCCGGCTGGGACTGGTGCTGAAGCCTGTAAGCCTGGCTTTGAAACTCAAACGTTTTGAAACTGCCCTGCCTGGCTGAGCTCCCCCTTACCCCAAGGAGTTCCCTCTTGCAACATGCAGGAAGGTGGGAGGCAGTTCAGAAATTTACTGAGTGGCCACAAGCCTCCCAGCTAGGCAGCCAGGGCCCTGCCGCATACAGAAAAACTTGTTGATGGTAGCGGTGATCTCCTCAGGCATGGAGGTCAGGGTCTTGCAGTCTAGGCGGATATACCCCTCCAGGCAGCGCACACTGCAGGGAAGCATGGGCTTGCCTGGGGTACTGTCAAAGCTGAGGGCCCCACATCAGGTTCTCAGCTGTGCCTGGGACACCATGATGATCAGCAGCAGCAGGATGTAGTGGGTGGGGCATCCCTCAGTGTGCTCAAACAGGTCATTATGGTGTGCCCGGGGGACTCTCAGCAGGGACATGCTTGGTGTGCAGGCCATGTGCAGTGGGGGCCCTGGCCTGGGATGCCTCTCTGGAGAGGGCAGCTGTGGTGGGGGGAGGGTGGCATCACCAACTCTGTTTCCCATTTGGATGGGAGTCCTTCACCCCACAACCCTGGGGCATGAGAGAAAACTGCCCGGCATGTAGGGAGGAGAAGTGTGGGGGAGCTGCCGGCAGGAGCTAGCCCTGGCCTGGGTAGGGGATGGGGAAGGCAGGCTGTCTGCTGTAGGTGGCAAATGGCCCACCTGTCCCCGTGGAGGAAGTGGGGATGGAGGCTCAGCTGGTGCCCACCTGTGGCAGGGCCCACCTGGCCAACTTACTATGGTCCCCGGGTACCTGTGCACATATGACCCCTGATCTGAGGCCAGGCGTTGTACAGCCCCTCAAGTATACTGCACGTTGTTTGAAATGTTGCAAACTGTCACAAAGAGCTTCTCTGTCCGTGCTCTGCAGGTCCAGCAGTTACATGTGGGTGAGAAGCACCAGCCACCTGTGGGGATGTCTGCAAGGATGATGCCACCATCAGCTGGCGCCCTCTGCATGCGCCACAACCACCAGGAGTGCACACAGAACCCCTCCCACCTGCTGGATCACCTGGTCACAGTGGAAGAGGAGTGGCTGGCAGACTTGTGGGCCCGGTGAGCTCAGGACCTGGAGTGGGAGCAGGAGAGGGACTGGGAGGACTGTACCTTCTAGGAAAGGCTCCTTGCTCTTGAGGAGAGGCACATTGCCTTCCTGTAAGCAATTGCTTGAGGCCTGGGAGTGGCAGGCTGCCATGGTGGCCAGGGCCATGGAGGCAGCAAAGGAGGACAACTGGGTGCTGGACACCATCCTGGCCCTGGCAGTCACCTTTGTGCCACCTGGCACCCATCCCCTGGCCCGAGCCCCATCTGGGACCTGACAACTGCCCATGGCCCAGCACCTCCCAGTGGGCTTGGGATGAGGTCAACACCACCTGCAGCAGCCAAGGCCCCCTGCCTCTGCTCCTGAGCCAGATCCTGTGGAGGCCTGGCCCCCTGCCTGGGCTGCCTCCCACTGCTCGCCTGGCTGCCATGCAGCCCCTGAGCGGGAGCTGCCCACAGCTGGGCCAGCTCAGCATGGGGATGCTGCTGGCTCCAGACCTGTGGTGGAGGAAGGGGAGCAGGTTGAGCAGGCGGGGCAGAGCCTGCCCTTGCTCTTGGGTGAGCCTCAAATCTGTTGGTCTCACTGCAGTGTCCACGCTTGTGGTGGTACCACCAGAGGCCAGGGTGCTGGGCACCTGTTCCCAGGATCAATGCCATAGGTGCCTCCACCCCACTGTTCCCCCCCTTTACAGTTCAGAAGGCACATTGTACATAGTTGCACAGGAAGCAGAACCTGTGGTGCACATTGGGGTTAAGGAGGGGTGTGTTGCTGGAAGGGAGGGAGGGAGCAGGGAGTCTGTTAGTGGGGAGGGAGCAGGGGCCTGTTATTGTGTGGTAGAGGGCAATAAAGTTTGGTGTTTGTTGCAAACCATCTGTAGTGTGTGTGGTCTTTCGGTTGGCCTGTGCGCCTGGGGTTTATGGGAGGCTGCCCAGGCACCCTACTGCAGGGGGTGGAGGAGCAGGTGGTTCATGAGCACCTTGTGGACGCAGTGCCCTGTCTGCCACTACCAGGGGGAGAGTGGGGTGAGTTCATGGCACACTGGCTACAGGCTTCCAGGACAGTGTCCCCTACCAGCCTGAGTCTGTCTTCAGGGCCCTCTGCCAGGCTGAGCCTGCCCCTGGGGTCCCCTGGCACCCAGGCAGCTGCGGCCAGAGCTTGCAACTCCCTCTGACTGCTGCAGGGAAGCAAAGCAGGGCAGGTGTAGACCTGGATCTGCCTACTTCATAAGGAGTAAATCTGTTCCCAACAGGGCACACATGTAGATACGTTCCTGGGGCAGGCTTCCTGCACCTTATTTTACTGTGTAGTAAGCCTAAATTGAATTAATAGCACATGTAGATGCATCCAGTACATGGGGTTTTTACATCCTCTTTTCTAAGTGTTTAACTCTCCCCATGGACTCTAGAGGTAACCTATATATGTGCCTAACTGAACTCTGGATCCTGTTCCAGGGATGGGAGTCTAACTTGTAAGCATCCAAGTCGTTTGTTGGATAAGATCCTCTTACTGTGATGCATAAGAATGTGTTTTTTGCGGTGACTGATCAGGTGCCAGCCCTTGCTTCTATGTAGGTGCTTGGCTTAGCCCTTGATTCATCAAAATTATTTTTATCATGTCATTGCAACTTGCAAAAGCCATCTTCCTCCTTGGTTTAGGAATTACAAAGAAAATAAATCTTTTCCAATGGCTGAAAAAAAAGTCTCACGAAATTTTCTGTTTTAGAAATGTTTCTTTTTACATTAGGATTTGAAGAATGGGATATTGAAGAGCATTCCGTTACAGAAACAGGATAGTGCAGCATCTTCTGCACATTGCAACTGGGGTGAGACAGCTGGTTTTGTAATGCATTGCCTTAATTCAGTAACCGGTGGTACATGCAATTTACAGTAGTCTTTGCTTCCTGTTTAAAATTCACATCTTAAAAAATGTTAAAAATAAGATCACTATTGGATTTGTGCTGATGGAAAAGTAATTTAAAAATACCAGATGCTAAATAGTAGAGCAAAGTTATGAAGGTAGTCTGGGAATGAGAGGACTCTGAAATACACTGCGAACAAAGATAATAAATTATCTTTCAAAGGAGAAATTTATTTTAAATGTGTCAAATTGAGATGAAAATCTTTCTCCAGATTGAAGGATTTAATCTCACGCTACCAAAATATCAATGACTGTACAGATTTCATGGCCCCACCACTTAACTGTAAACAAGGATGGACATGTCAGTGCCAACAAAAGGGTTCATCCCAGGAACACCTTGTTGGGACCATAATAGATTAACTATGAATAGTCTTGCTGCTTATATCCATTATATTATAGTTATTGTTTGTGTAGAATTCACCGTTGTCAGACAGCTGAACAAGGTTTATGAATAACTTAAATCCAGTTTAAGCCCTCTTTTGGGATTTCAAGTGAACACACCCTTTTGTTCTGAACCTGTAGCTTGGCACCTGCTGAGATGAAGAGAAGCAAGAAGCATGCAGAGTTGCAAGTGCTTTGGCCAGTCATGCTGGTAGGGTATAAATGCCAAAAGCAAAGCTGATGTTAAACCCATACGGACTCAGGCAGAAGCTGAGGTGTGAACTTCTCCTACCTGCATACTTAATAAAATGGACTAACTTACCTTAATGGGGTTCACCCCTAACTAGGGGCCACAGCTAGTGTGCCTGGTTGTTTATCCCTAAAATCTGCTCTGCCAGGAAGGACAAGCAATTTTGCATGCATTAGGCAGCCTTTCCTGCCTGGGGACTAGAACGACCCACCTTGGGTCAGAATTAGGAGGGAGCTAGAACCCATCTACAGCCACCACATCTCCTTATGGTGGCAATGGGGGAGTGCCTGAAGCCAAAGATCTCACCACTGAATGCTGCCAAAGCCCCATGTCTGCCAGCTGGATCCCATGGCTCTGTGAGCGGGATTTGGCCCAAGGGCCACAGGTTGATCAGTTAGAATAGGGGTTAGGACCTTTTAAAATCTTTTTGGAACAGTAGTCTGAAATAATGCAGCTCAGTGCTCAGTCCAAGGAACACCCGTGCTTCTGATGCAACCACTGCTCTGCATATGACCCTCCTGCCACTGAATGCCACAGAATTCTCCCCCTGGCAAAATATCTCTAAATTGCTCATATCCAGACTTTGTGGGTTGAATGAAATTGCTTGGTGGGCTGGATCTGGCCTATGGGAGCATGTAGCAGTCTTAATTTAGGATTCCATAGAACCATAGGCTGCATCAGACCAGTCTTCCTTTTGATTTCACTTTTAACAAGATAATCTAGCACTGTTATAGTTTCATAGTTGGTAGGGTCGGAAGGGACCTGAGCAGATCATCAAGTCTGACCCCCTGCCATGGGCAGGAAAGAAAGCAAGCTGGGGTCAAATGACCCCAGCCAGGTGATTATCTAGCCTCCTTTTGAAGACCCCCAAGGTAGGAGTGAGCACCACTTGCATTGGAAGTTGGTTCCAGATCCTAGCCACCCTGACTGTGAAGTAGTGCCTCCTGATATCTAGCCTGAATCTTCTCTCAGTCAACTTATGGCCGTTATTTCTTGTTACTCCTGGTAGTGCTCAGGGGAACAGGGACTCCCCCAATGCCTGCTGGTCCCCCTTGGCCAGTTTGTAGATGGCCACAAGATCCCCTCTCCGCCTTCTCTTGTGGAGGCTGAACAGGTTCAGGTCCCGTAGCCTCTGCTCGTAGGGCCTGCCTTGCTGCCCCCTGATCATGCGAGTGGCCCTCCTCTGGACCCTCTCAATGCTGTTCCACATCCCTCCTGAAGTGCGGTGCCCAGAACTGGACACAGTACTCCAACTGCAGCCTGACCAGTGTCACATAGAGGGGGAGGATCACATCCTTGGACCTGCTCATAATGCATCTGTGGATGCATGACAAGGTGTGGTTAGCCTTCCTGACTGCGTCCCCACATTGGCAGCACATGTTCATTCTGGAATCAATAATGACTCCAAGATCCTTTTCTGCCTCTGTGCTGACTAGAAGGGAGTTCCCCATTCTGTAGGTATGCTGCTGGTTCTTCCTCCCTAGGTGCAGCACCTTGCACTTGTCAGTATTGAATCCCATCCTGTTCTCATCCACCCACCCCTGTAACCTGTCTAGATTTAGTTGCAGCCTGTCCCTCTCCTCCAGCGTGCCTTCTCCCCACATCTTAGTGTCATCGGCGAATTTGAATAGGGTGCTTTTCACCCCCTCATCCAAGTCGCTGATGAAGATGTTGAACAGTGCGGGCCCAAGGACTGAGCTCTGGGAGACCCCACTGCCCACATCCCTTCAGGTCGAAAATGACCCATCCACCACCACTCCCTGAGTGCGACCCTCCAGCCAATATGTGATCCATCTGACTATGTAGGCGTTGATGCCACAGTTGCCTAGTTTTTTAATGAGAATGGGGTGAGAGAAAGTGTCGAAGGCCTTCCTAAAGTCCAGAAAGACTACGTCCACTGTGACACCTGCATCCAAGGATTTTGTGACCTGGTTGTAGAAGGCCACCAGGTTGGGCTGACAGGGCCTGCCTCGAATGAACCCATGTTGGTTGCTCCTAAGCATGATCTCCCCTGCTGGTCCTTTGCAGATGTGCTCCTGGATAATTTTGTCAAAGAGCTTCCCCAGGACCGAGGTAAGACTAACGGGCCTGTAGTTTCCTGGGTGCTCCTTCCTCCCTTTTTTGAAAATGGGGACCACCGTGGTCCTTTTCCAGTCCTCCGGCACCTCACCAGAGCACCACAAGTGCTCGTAAAGCTGTGCCAGGGGTCCCGCAATGACCTCTGCTAATTCCCTCAGCACTCTGGGGTGGAGATCACCTGGACCTGCTGATTTGAACATGTCTTGTCCCACCAGAAGTTCCCTGACTAGGTCTTCACTGACCCTGGGCCTGGCAGCGCCTCCCCTGGGTCCATCAGGGATTCCAGTGGGGGGGGATGCCCCGGTTCCTGCTCAAAAAGATGGCAAAGAAATTGTTAAAGAGGTTAGCTTTGTCATCTGATGTGACTACTAGATTTCCTAGTGTATCCTGCAGAGGCCCTACATTACCCGCTACCTTCTTTTTACCCCCATGTATTTATAAAAGGACTTCTTGTTATCCTTTATCCGGGATGCTAGTCCCAGTTCCATCTCCGCCTTAGCCTTTCTAACAGCCCCCTTACAGTTCTGAGCAATGGAGGTATAATCCTCCTTGGTAATGGCCCTCCCTTCCATTAGGTGTACACCTCCTATTTGGCTTTGAGACATTCCTGGATGCTTTTGGTGATCAATGGGGGCTTTTGAGCACTCTTGCCCCCTTTGATCCACATTGGGATTGTCACCCTTTGGGCTTGGTCTCCTTAAGGAACCAC